GACGGACAGACGGACGGACAGACAGACATGGCTTAATCGATTTCTTTTTTCATCCTGATCATTTATGTATACATTTGTCTATATCTATCTCGATTCGTTTTGGCTGTTACAAACAACCGTTATGTGAACAAAATTAATATACCCTTGTGCACAAGTGCGCTCGGGTATAAAAAAAAAAGAAGCCAAACACCTTAATGTGTAAGCTGTATTCTTGTAGCCAGAATTCACGTACATTTTTTCGTCAAATATTTTCTATATCTTGGTCAGCACTTGAACATGCAAAATTTTTTGAATCAAATTTTTTTACCCAATATTTTTTATTTTTTCTAACTTGCTACTCTTTGCTTTTGTGCATAAATATAGTAAAATCTATAAATTTTTTTCAGCTTCCTTTGTTTGTCGCGCGCAACATTTTCCAACCACTTTTAATTGACCTTAAAATGTTTCAGCCTTTTTTTTGTCGCCACAAAAGGCAAGTCCGAAAAACTGAAGTTACAAAATTACAAAAAATAAAAAAAAAATACATAAAAAATAGCTGCGAGGAAAACCGCCAGCAAGCTAGCGAGTGACAGGTGAACACGCTGCGCATGGCGCTGGGCCATGGTGGCGTTACTTCGTGGTTGCACATTTTTACGACTTTTTTGTGAGTTCACCGTTTTGTAGCTGCCATATATATTTTATTTACGGCAAGTTGCAACTTGAATTTAGGTCGCTTACATATACATATTTGTATGTTTGTAAGTAGGTTTCTAGTATTAGCAGGCAAGCATGCTAGTTCATGTATTTGTGTGTGTTAGGTTCACAGACATTCGTATTTGCAGCACAGGTATTTTCTTGGGCGCAACACGGTGAGTGGGAGCCAAAATTGGCAGTGGCATGTCGCATGCAACTTGCGGCAAATAGCTACATATAATGCATGTGAATGCCAACTCTGAGCACACACACATTCACATAAATGCACCTATACTTACATACCAGTAAGCTGCTACCTTTGTCAATTGGCAGCAGCAAACGCCTGCAGCTCAGTTGTCGCTCTGTCGCTCGCTGGCAGGAATTCATTTGCATACCCGTTGCGCATCGAATTGGGGTCAAATGCGCTTTAATGCCATTTTAATGCAAAGGTTCAATTGCCCAAAAAGTCAGTGTTCAGCCAACAGTCGCTGCTACAAAATGCCCAGTATTTAGGCAGTCAGAGCTGGACGCAAGTGTAACTGAAAAAAAAGTCTTTGTTTTGCTTTACTCTGCCGCTTGCAGCACGTCACCTTTTGTTGCGGCTGCCTTTATAAAAATTTAAAAATATGCCGCAATATATTTGCTTTTAATTAAGGAGAATTTTACATATTTTTAATTACTTTTAATTACTGAAGCATTATTATTTTCTTTTTTTTTGTGTGTCTGTTAAGCTGGTGTTTTTGTTAGTGATGTAGAAGCTATAAAAATTTTGGATTATTTTTATGTACTGATTTCGTAAAAAAATAAGAAATAAATGTCTTAACGTTTTATTTTATTGCCGCCTATCTCTTCGAATGGATACATGGTCTTTATAGTATTTTAATAACAGCTGTGATCGAAGGGGGTCTTTTAATGACAGATATTTACCTCTCACATTTTTTTGTTTATCACCTTAAAGTGATGAAGTGTTGGAGTATAAATGTGTGTGTTTCTAAAAACAATAAAAATTTAAAGCAGCAGCAGCTATGAAGTGTGTCGCCAACAAAATATAAGGATTTTCAATGTAGATTTATTATGGCAATCGGCAATTTCTTATAAAACCATTTGTCGGTTTGGGCAAATGCACTGAACATCAAATGGAATTTATAACTCTTGTCGGAAGTTTATACCCCTACCGAGCGAAGGAATTTTTTTTGTAACTCATCTAATTTTGAAACTAACGAACGACAGCGCAGTACTTAAATCACAACAAATTTTTAATAATTAGCATTTCATTTTGGAAATTCCTATAATACAATAGATTAATTATATTTAAATGAGATGAAGGAGGAAAGCCGCTACTCTAGAACCATAGTAGACCTATAGAAATGTTTTTAAGGTCATTAGCGAGGTCCCATTCGGGCCACGTGCATCCAGATAGACGAATTTTTGAAAGCGAAGTTTTGTCTTAGAGGTAGGTCTCAGTTCCAAACTCATGGAATAAAATTAGGGCTATAAG